AATATGGGCGTCTCAGCTCAACTCTAAGAGGTCGCTGTTTTTATTTTAGTTTCCCATTTAATTAACATGAGAAAAAATAATTTTGTGTTTGGAATTTTATACCTCTGTATCAAAGTAACTTATGGCAATGATCATTGCAGTTTCTTATATAAAATGTAACGCTCTACAAAAAAGGTCTCTTATTATTTTTCGATAAATTGATTTCTCCTACAGTTATTCGAGGTCAAAGTTTGATAACATCAAATTTTCTGTTTTTTTAATTTTATGGTAGCAGACGGGAGGTGAAAGGGGGCAAAATAAGGCAGCGGGGGGGGGGGGTCAAAATGGGGTACCCAAAAAATGAGCATATGAAAATTTTCCAAAATTGTACCATCCTTTAAAGGAAAATTTTCTCGCTCTACAGGCTCAGAATAATTATTTTCGATTAAAATCGTGAACTTGTGAGTCAATTTTCAAATAATTTAGAAACCGAAAAAAACAATACTTGATACAGAGGTATAAAATTCCAAACATAAAATTATGTTTTTCCCTGTTAAGTAAATAAAAACATCGACCTCTTAGAGTTGAGCTGAAACGCCCAAATTTGGTGAGGATTTTTTTTATATTAAATAGAAACATAAGAGCGAAAAAAAATTTTTTTTTTGAAGCATCCTAGTACATATATTATTTTTCTGTAGTGGCCCATTATTGCACATTAAGATGTATTTTTCTAAATAAAAAAAAGTAAACCTCTTTTCCAAGACATGACGATCCTTAACATTACCGTGTCTCCTAATACTGGAGCTATTAACGAACATACTAAACCGGAACTACTCCACGAGAAGTGCAAATTTTTTTCATATACACCATAGAAGATTAAATAAAACATAATAGATCACCTATACATGCAGGTTTAAAACTATACGACGTCTTAGACAACAAAACAAAACTATAAAAAATGTACATACATCTTTTTAGAAAAACAAAAAAAAAAACGATTTTAACTACTAAAAAGCTTTTACAAAGTTAAAGACTTTTACTAGACTTCAGTTGAGCGATATTAATAGCGATGGTAATTATTTTGTAATGCATTGTCGGATAATTACTGTGTAAGATATTGTTAAACAAAATTCGTATGCATGTTACAGTGCATGTTGATGATGTTTTTAATAGGACTATCTAATTGTGTTTGTTGATTTTATTTCACATAGGACTATGTTCCACATTAACGTAATAAAGATTTGATCATGTTTTGAAATGATCGCAGTTTGTAAGATCTGAAAGCATGCGTAGTAGAGGTCTAAAGCTATCGATAGCCCAATTGATAACTATCGATAGTTCTGACTATCGAATAATATCGATATTTTCTCTAACTATCGCAATATCTTTCGATCCTTTTTCATAACCAATTTATTTTTCGCCTACTAATAAAGCTTTCACAAAAAACAATTTATCATGTTAGTCTTAAGGTGGAGCCACACTCACATTCTGTCAATTTACTTTTAGATATTTTTTATGATCTGTATGTATTAATTGATAATAATTTATTTGTTGTTATAGATAACAGGGAATAAGTTTTAGGTTTACCTCAATGAACAGTAAAAGAATCCTTAGTTCCACTCGACTAGTAATCTTCGATCGGCGATCGAGTAAGAAATCTGTCAAAATCGATATATTTGCCTTTTTAAATTTATTGTTCTTTTAATAATTTTTTCCGATTATCGATAGTGAAGTGACTGTTAAATAATAACAACTATCGATAGTTTTAGACCATTAATGAGTAGAATGTCCGCGAAGAAATAAATATCCGAACCCTTAGAGTAAGGGTGGAAAAAAATAACGATGTATACTTACGATACACACAAATACGGTATGTTATTGCGCATAGTAGCGCCGTCTCTCGCTCTCGCTAAATTTACCATTATGGCAGCCGATTTTTTTTTTATCAAAACTGATTGTAAGAGAAAATAGTTTTATGATTCCTGGATTTGTACTTTGTCCATAAGTAATAGTGTCAATTTGTTTTTTAAATTATATGCAAAGGCAGAAAATAATCATCGTAATCATAACAGATAATTATTATTTTAAAAATATTAAAAGTATAAATCACCCAGTAAGCAACAAACACTCGGCAACCAGTCGGCCACCGCTCGGCATAGACGGTTGGTTACCCCGGTAACGTTTAGCCATTTTCTAACCGAAGTCTGCCAGCATAAACGGCATGTTGCGGAATAAGAGTTTCTGCATGCCCCGTCCGGCCCGCGTTGTTCCCTGGTTACTGTTTGGCCGCCTACGAACTGAAATCGGGCGAAATACGGCCTGCCGCCGCAAAAGCGATACATCTTACGCTGCTTATGCACGCGAGCTATTTATAATTAGCGTTGGTTTGCAATATTTAGTTGGATGTGTGCATCTGTCATGGCACATTGAAAGCACACGAGACAGGCTGTACAACTATCAGTATAAGAGTGCCTCTAAATTTAGCTAAAAATATGTGAACTCATAGTGTACGTATTTGTGTAGTGATCGGACGCTAATTAGTGCCGTCACAAAGAAAAATCGGTCCGCTGACGCCAACCCCTGGCGGTATCAAAAAGAACCAAAATCAGAAGCCACAGCCTGTATAACAGCCCACAAAGGCGAAACCTGCGCTATTCTCTGCAGGTAATGTAAAGTCCTTTCAAATCAATAAATAACCGTTAAAACAGTCCTGAAACCAAAGATAGGAGTCCCAACATCATCTCCACCATCAGATGAAGCCTCGGACCCCCTTGGCGCCCCCAGCAAAAAACTTCAAACAATGTCCGAGCTACCAGAAGAACATAACAAATAACAGGTGAAATAGCAAGAAAACACACTGTATAAACTGCCAAATAAGGTCAACCTTGAGATGTCCAACCAACAGATAAAAATCATTTCGGACGACATCTTAAAACCCTACTGGACACTAAGCAACCAAAAGCAACAGAGCGTCGACATTTCAATCCCCACAACTACCACAGCCATGCCAACCTACACCATAGCCACGGCATATCATTAGCAGCATAATCACACCCACAGACTGTGATCACACCAATCGCTGCCGATAGAAATGGTGATGGCGACGAAATGAACATTAAAGACGGTAATAGTAACAGAAGATGTTGCAGTGATTATGAAGATAATGAATAATCCAAAAAAAAAATTCATAAAACCAAAAAAAAAATCACTTCAATATCTACTATTATTAGAAATAAAGTACAGTAGGCCGAAACACAAAAAAACAACATTTAACACACAAACAGATGCTACACAAAAATAAAAAACAGAAAACAAAACTAAAGCAAAGGATCCACCCCCAATTGTGCTTAGAGGCAACGTCAACGTTAACCACAAAGATATGCTAGCAAATCTAAAGCAATATGTCACAGATTTTACAATAAAACACACCAACAATAATACAATATTAAACATAAAAAAGACGAGTACAAGAATTATTTCCGTTGCGTTGCGTCATAAATTTTAAATGTCAAAAACCGGTTTGTCGACATTCGTCCGGCATACATCCAACATACGCCTCGGCGACTATACAAATAAAGCTAATTCCCAGTAAGCACAAGCTAGTCGGCCCGCATACGGCCCGAATACGTTTTGCCGAATCAGCCGCGTGCGGCCCGACACATGTATTTGTTCCGGCGTGTAGACCGGGCATGTCCGCCTGGCCGAATGTCGGCTATGTTTACTCGGCTGTGTATAATTGCCCGAGTGCCGGCCACAACAGCCTGACAATTCAAAAAAAGCCTTCAGACGTCCTGGATAGGTATATCCTATAGGTTTAACACACTCGACTATAGCTAGCCATTATTCGTTACTGAGCAGATGAGGATGGAGATGGGGACTTCAAACAATTATTGTTCAGCTATGCCATTACAGACGCACACTTTCAACTAAATATTGCAACCCATCGCTATTTATAGTTAGCTCGCTTGCGTAAGCAGCCGTGAGATGTATTGCTTATGCCACGGCAGGCCGTATTCCGGCCGTAAGCGGGCCGGCTAGGGAAAGCCGAACTATTTTGCAACGGCATGCCGTATTCTGGCCGACTTTGGTTAGAACATGGCCAAACGGTACCGGGCTAACATAACGCGGGCCATAAGCGGAACGACTGGGGGCAAGCCGAACCGCCGGTCAACCGCCTAAGCCGAGCGAAGACCGACTGTTTGTCGAATGTTTGGTGCTTACTGGGTTGTAATGTCTGTGCTTGGTTCACAAATTGATGACGGAACGGAAAACATTCGCCGCGGCGAATATACCAACTTAAAGAAAGTAATACACATTTTCAAACCTACTCCCCAGACCAGGATAAAACTCACATATTTGTTATGCGCTGTCTGGATGCCCCTATGAAGACCGAATAAATAAAAGGCCCTTTTTACTTTGCATGACATTACAGCAAAAAACATATTCCCACTAAAAATAAAATTTAGGCCATTATACATGATGGTGGCCAGCCCATCTGTAACTCTAGCATGGCTAAAAAAAAGCGTGAGATACCTTTAGCACTCCTACTGTAATAATGTATATTTTTTAAATTAAAAAGTTTTCGTGAGATTTTCATTGATTCCCCCTCCATTTAAATGATATTTGGTGAGACGGACGGCAGAATATTCCCATTTCTGCCGGTTGGCGGAATGTTATTGAATATTTACCCAATTTTTCTCTCAAAGAACCTTTCCATAACAGAAAGATGGCAAAAATTAAGGCAAGTTTGAGAGAAAATTAAAACCTTAATATAAAGACGGCATCATTTCAATTTTTAACAGGTCTTCAATATGACTAACTGATAAGCTGAAATATACTCGTATCCACAAATAGTTCTTGGTGTACAAACCTTATTTAGTTAAACTTCCCTTCTGAAGATGCCATCTTGGCGAAAAGTACTTTAAGCATTTTGTGTTTTGTTTTGGTGTTGGGTATATTTTTAATATTTGCTTATTTATGCAGTAAACATAATTGTAAAATACCCATTAACTTTTTTCCAGAACTAACTGAGTTTTGCCCCTTGGCACAGCCTAAAATAATGTATTTTGTGTTACATTTAGCACAATCATTAAGACCTAAAAAAGTTAATATGGCAAATAATGGTATAAAAAGTTTAGCTCCTTTGGAAACATTAACAGGTCACAACATTGAGTTTTTAAATTTAAGAGACAATAAGGTGTGTATGTCAATTATCAAGTAAAATAAATTTTTAAAATTACTATTTTTAGATTGAAGACCTTAATGACTTAAAGGCTTTAAAAAATTATGTATCCCTCAAAGAGTTGGTGCTAGATAACAATCCATTATGTGAAACAGTAAACAATCCTTACAACTACATAAGTGCTGTCAGGGGACTATGTCCAACTGTTAAAAAATTGGTATAGTTTTAGAAGTTCGTATTGTATATATAAAAATAATAAGTTTATTTTTAGGATGGTATTATGGTACAAAAAAATTTTAATGTAATACCTCCAGTGCAGCGTAATTATTTTTGCGATTCGAGCGGTTTAGATTTGATTAGTAGGTTTATAGAATACTATTTTACAATTTACGACTCAGGAGATAGACGAAATTTAAGGGACTTGTATGATAAAGATGCATTTTTTTCTTTGAGTTGGTGGTATAATTCATTTCAAACCCGAACGACTAAGTATTAAGTGTAATATTTCCTACTATTTTTGTTTATAAATATATTTATAGGTGGTCGCATTATAAAATGTTGTCAAGAAATATTAAGCAGTTATCTGATATGTCTAAGTTATCAAATACTTTATTTACTAAACACCATATAATAGATACTGTTTTTACCAATCTACCACCAACTGAGCATGATCCATATTCCTTTACCGTCGACCTTATACATTATACGGTTAGTACTAAATTTAAAATCTATTAAAATAAATTAAACAAATTTATTTGTTTTAGCCTGCATGTGCTATAGTTGCTGTATGCGGGTTGTTCAGAGAGTTCGAGGAAATCGGTGGTGTCCCCAGTTTGACTTATCATTTTTCACGAACATTTGTTCTAAAGGAAAACCATGGTTCCATGATGATAGTTAATGAAATGATGCATATTAATAATGCTTTTAAAACCCAAGTATTAACAGCTTTTAATATTGATAAACCATTGTGGCCATCTATTCGTCCAGAGGCCGCAACACCATCACAAAAGGAGGAGGCGGCAAATGCTGTTAGTCGACTGACCACCTTAAACACCAACTGGGCCAAAAAGTAACTATCATAATCTCAATATTTTAAACCATACTATACTATTATCTATTAGGTGCTTGGAGGACACTGATTACGATATACAGAAGACACTTACCTTGTTTGTGGATCTTTTTAAATCTAACAGACTTCCTGCAGAAGCTTTTGCCAAGTAAGTCAATAGTTGTAGCAAGTAGCAAGCATTGAGACTTGCATATATTTATAGTTCGATAAAAGAATTTGTTCTTAATTATTAGATTTAATTTTATTATTGTTTATAATAAAACCAAAGGTATGTACAAATAAAAAAATCATGCTATCCTATTATTATTTTTATCAGAAATATGTTTATACTTTCAAGAAATGATCTTTTCAATATATTGCATCTGTACAAAAAATCAAAATTCAATCAAAATATTTAATGTATAAACCTAACCCCAAGAAGTTTAGACATGGCCAAAAACACAAAATTAAAAGTACATTTCGACACATTTGGAAACGATTATAATAATTATTAATAAAAATTAAAACTAAAAATAAATGAAATACCACAAAACTACAAACTGCCAGACTGGGATAACTTTTTTAACTAGTTTAAAAACTACTGACAAAAGTAATACAAAAAGCTTGATATCTCAATATCAGACCACAAATGAGGAATTTCACGCCAACCGGCAACTTTAAAAGTAAAGTTGTTTATATTTGGTTATGCTGTACTCCTGGGGGGTCTTAGCATTTACATAAAACTATTTGACCCTGCGACGTCCAGGGACTCTGCTAGGGGCTTTAACATTTTCGTCAAAACATCGTTTTAAAGGGGCCTAGCTTCTTGAAAAATCTATAGATTTTTAAATTATAATTTTTATGCTCTTTTTCGTTATGCACTAAAATTCCAATTTGTTATAAATGAAACATTTTATTTTAAAATATAATTCTTATTTATTCTTAATTTCAACCAGTTTTTTTATTTTTTTAATTGCTTAAAAAATCGCTAAACCTGAATAGATAATTCTTTAAAAAAAATTGTAATGAGGTGAGCACTTGTTTAGATGCTAGAGGACTGGAGTAACCCCGCGTCAAACCTAGTGGCGCACCGCGGAGTTAGGTCCTAGCGCGTTCTCCACTGTTTAGTCGATCGCGCTTTTGAAAAACTTATTAAATAAAATTTAATTGTGCACTACATTGATTTTATTGTCCTTTTTTAATTATATTTTTATTCAAAAAGTGTGACATTTGAAGCTTGGATTAGCACTGATCATTCTTCTTTTACAACCTCTTCTTCCTATCGATGGTTTTGTTGATCGTCTATGCGCTGGTCTTGATGTATTAAAACCATATTTTGGATCAGCAAGCATCTTTTTTTAAATAGAGGAAAATTTTGTTGAAGGAGAAATTATGGTCCAGTGTGATGTTGCTGAGAACTACAGTTTTGTAGTTCAAGATGCTGTCCAATCTTTCCACAGGAACAACTATCAACCCACCCTTTTACCATGCGTTTTTTACTTTAATAAAGAACGAGAGGTAAAACATCTGCTTTTTGTCATAGTCATTGTCTTCTTTATAGTTTGTTTTTTAACTTTATCTATGCTTTGTTCTTTAGTATCATCTGTTTCTACTAGAAACTTTCTACCCTGTTTTCTTCCATATTATGGTCTTGCTTTTCCGTTATTCCTACAAATAAACTGGAACAAGGTTTTACACTACATGAGCTATTAAAAATCCTTAATTTTTTAAAATTACTCTCCAATGCACGACTAAAGTGATACAGATACTTTCTTAGAATGCTTGAACAAAACTTCTTAAAAGATAAAACCTATGGTAAAACTCCGAATACATCAACCCAAAGACAACATAAACTTATGTCGACCTATACAGTGCTTGCAAATCCAAGTCCGACCGGGTTGTGAAGGACGGTTGTTCAATACCCGCGTGAAAATAACAAGGATAGAACGCCAAACAGAAGGCGCTTACAATACGCACGCCTGCCGGCTCTGACCAATCAAATTCTGTTTGGCGTTCTATCCTAACCCGGTCGGACTTGGATGTGCAAGCACTGTATGACAACACTATGATTAAAAATATATTGGAGTAGGTACCTACTTATTAAAAAAGCAAAACTATTCCTAACAATATACGGGTTTATAAATTTATAATATATATGAACTTAATAGAATAGAACAAGCCCATCTAAAAAAACATAATGACGGCAACATTTTTTCACCTATCACAAGCATTTAAATAATATTAATTAAATGCTTGTCATAGGTACAAAATCGTTGCTGTCATGCTTATTCAAATGTACAATATTGCACAAATAACAATATTAAATAAAACGCCAAACAAAATAGACATACCAAAAACATTTAGAGAATATGGTGTGTACATGGTGCACCAAGTAACCCTCTAAGTAAATTTTTTATTTGAAGAGCTAGGTAGGTTAAATTAGAGAAAAGTTGCGTAATTACAAATCTTTTAAAATGGCCTTTAATAATTGAAAAAAACCTGTGGTTCTCAAATAATTTTAAAAAAATCTATCAATTCAAAAAATGATTATGAGTAATCGTTAATTCCTTGATTTTCCAATCTAACCGTGTAAAATTTACTAGAATACGGGACTGTTTTCCCAAACGTAATTGCGACACTATCGTATATTTTACTACTAAATAATAAAATTGTTTTTTTTGTCAAATTTTATGTATAGGAAATAAAAAGTTTTTTATTATCAGAACAGTTTTTTAAATTAGTTTTTACAACAAACTGTGCAAATATCTCCTCGTTGTTCTCTGCAAAACGACTTTTTGCACTCCTTACAATAATTGGTGGTCATGGGCCTTTTTTTGCTTGTACAGTAAAAACAAGCTCAGCAAGTTACACTACCGCTACACCTAAACTGGGTAGCAATTTGAAATATTTTCCACATGTCATTTGTCAAAGTGTTGCTGGTTACTTTGTTGCGTTCCCCGGTATATGATTTGGTACAAAAATTAATTTGACTTTAATTCAAAAATCCACCTGATAAAGCTGGCAACACCGCAACTAAATTTGGCAATGTCGCATTATTACTTAATATTTTGTTGGATCCCCCTGTAATCGAATTGATTTTGGGGATTTTAATTAATAAACTTTTTTAAATACCAAACAAAAATTAAACAGGCTTTTAGTCGATTCGTTTTTATTCGAAAAGTTTCGGGCGGATCCGGCCCGTTTTTAATAGGAAACAAATTACCGTCCCAAAGCAACTTTTCGCGAGTTTGGTCGAAAAATCTCCACTCGTTTAAAAATTAAGCGATTTTAAAGGAACGGGCAAAATTTGACGAAAAAAAGGAATTTAGTTCACATATAGGTCTCGCGGGCCCGAAAAAAGGATAACAGACAACGGACAAAAAAAAAGTTGTTCAGAATTCGATTGCGAGTCGATACATATATTTAAAGGTATACCTGTGTAGCCTCCTTGTATCACTTTTGCGATCGGAGGCTTGCGCGATAGTATTTCTTTTTTTTTATGTGTGTTGACAACGTCTTCATTCAATGTACCAAGGATTTCACCTATATGTTGATGAACATTTCGACGTAAACTTGGGCTGTTATATCTATGCAGCATCCATTTGTTTGGCAGGACAAATACTTAAATCAATCATATATTGGTACCTGAAAAAAGATTTCTGGCCCTTTCACCCTTTAACATATTATAAACGTAAATAACGTAAGAGTTTATGCTGGTCATATTTATCATACCATAAAACATACAAAGTGGCGATCTGCGTGTTTTTCTGCTCGAACTTACATTGTAACACATTTGGTCGAATGTGTACACTAGGGTGTTTCAAAATAAGGCAATATTTTTCTATTTTCAAATTCATGTGAAATTCTCGTCACTTATGCTAAAAAAAAAATTCTGTCAAAATTTGAGCTCTTAATATTAATTTTAAAAGGTCCATCATCGAATTTAAAGTTTTCCCATTGATTTCACATGGAAAAATAGTTTTTAAGATTTATTTCGCCTGCCTACCAGTGGCGGCTCGTCGGGGTAGGCAAGGTAGGCGCCGCCTACCCTGGAAATATGGATGTAAAATAATAAATATAAGTAATTTAACATTAATAAAATTACCAAATTTAATTAAATTATTTTTATTGCATTCATAAATCTTATTTATCGCAAATAAAACCTTTTATTGAATTGTTACGTGATGCGTCATGACGAAAGTAGCTAGTTCACACCTTTTTCTATGCTCTAAATCAGCATCTAAAGCAAGCAAAGGCGACTATCCCAAGCGCCTATTTATTTGATTCTTGCACGTCAACCAAGTGAAGAACGCTATACCGCTGACCAATAGAAACGCCGTTGACGTATGGTAAAATTGCGATGTGTAGGCGACACGATTGTTCGCCTTCGGCTAATCCGAAAGCCGATTCGGCTTCCGACTTGTAAGATATTTTTTTAAGCCGGTAATCGATAAAATGATCGATCTCAATGCAAGAGGTTCAGAATATAATATGAATTTAATATTAAAAGTCCTGTAAATAACATTATTTGCAAGAATATATTAATATAATAAATAATTAATTTAAAATAGTGACATCTGTTGAGATAAATTCGAACGATAAAGGGTTTTTAAGCAGATTTCTTTTACATTTTAGTTCCGTCAATTAGATGTTTTTGAGCTAAACAATAATAATTATTGTTTTAAGCCAAATTTACTTTATTTTTGTGACTGTGTCAGGAAATTAATTACCCGCTAAGTATTACTGTATCATTATTTATTATTATTATTAGAATTAGGTAGTCTTAGTTTGTATTAGAATTAGATAGTATTAGCGTTGATTATTAGCCTTGTTTAATAAATAAGGGTATTATTTTGCAATAATGGAGGGCCCATTTCATGACATTATTTGCTCATTACTTGAAAATCCATTTTCTCGCCTTAATGAAAACGATCGAAAAGATGTTATGATTAATGATCGCCCTATTCCACACCTAAATCTTTTAAAACCTGATAAAAAACATGGTTCAACTTTTTCTCGATCGTTTAAAAAGCAATGGTATGAGAATCATCGATGGTTATGTGGTAGTTTTTTTAAACAGAGTTTGTTTTGTTGGCCGTCGCCTACCCCAGCGCGGAAGGCACGAGCCGCCACTGCTGCCTACTATGTAAAACTTTTTTTTTAATTAAT